ACTTGGGACAAGTCAACAAAAAAGCTATGTATTATGAGTTATGATAGTCCTCAGCTTGTTAGCACCTTGAAAGTTTAAATGGACAGATTCTGAATTCAGTTTGCTTTCAGTGGGTTAATGGTTTTTTTTAAGATCAAAATACCTTGGGATGGGATTGATTGCCTATTCTTTTATGAAGTACCATTATCTTCCTAACAGCAGAGAGCACTTTCTATGAAGTATTTTAAGATACGATTAGGTGGAATCTCTTAAGTCCTATCCCAGAGTTATTGTCTTGGTTAAAACCATACTTGGGGTGTATTGTATGCTGAAACAGTTTTTTGTGGGCTAGTCTAGAACCCAATCACTTTTTATTATACTTCTGTGAGAAAATGCACTCTGAATTCTGAGCTCGTAAATGAGGGGATGTCTATATACTGTTTCATTATTCGAGAAGATGATTTTTAGACAATTATAAATTAAGAATACAGCACATTTCAAAACTAGATCTACAGATGTGAAAGGAATGATTAGTGAGGAATTTGATGCTATTCATGTGAGACTTCTCTTCCAAATATATGCATCTTCCAACATGAGTTAGTTGATTATATTACTGGTTTGCAGCTGTCAGATTTTAAGTTTGCCATTTCTGTCTTTCATGTAAAATTTTCTTATTATGAACATGCACGAAAGTTAAGAGAATAGTATAATGACCCCTCCCCCATATTTTAACACTTAGATTAGAAAATCATCAATATTTTGTCATACTAGTTTTACTCATGCTTTTTTTTTTTAACTGCTTTTTTGAGTGGGGAGGACTCAAATTTTTAAAAATCGCCCCCCTTTGACCCCATGTGTACACTATTAGATAAATCATAATCCTCAGTTAATTGCACTCATCATTGGTCATTACATAGTCCCCCTTAATTTATTCATTCACGTTTGAAATGATCTTTATTAATGAAATAAACACCTAGGAACCTATCACCCAAAACAGAAGTCTAAGTCCTGCTTTGAAACTCACCTGTATCGAGCCATCTCCCCGTTCTCATCGCCTGCATCCTTCTACCCTACCTGAAGTGATTGTCACCCTGAATCCTGTGTTCACTAATATTTTCTTTCCTTTTTATAACAGAAATCCAGTAGAATTAAGACTATTGATACTAGAGGTCAAAGTGATGTATAGCCCACATAACTGTTGCTTCATTGAGTTGATCTACGTGGTTTGCTAAAATCTATGTATTTCTGTTTCTTTATTTTATTTTGCGGTACGCGGGCCTCTCACTGCTGTGGCCTCTCCCGTTGCGGAGCAACAGGCTCCGGACGCGCAGGCTCAGCGGCCACGGCCCACGGGCCCAGCCGCTCCGCGGCATGTGGGATCTTTCCAGACCGGGGCACGAACCCGTGTCCCTTGCATCGGCAGGCGGACTCTCAACCACTGTGCCACCAGGGAAGCCCTCGGTTGTTTTAAACTGTGTAGCAAGTGTGTTAAGTATGTCTTATTAAGTGTATGTGTTAAGTATAACTTCGGGGAACTTAATCTTTCCGCTTTATATTACTAATATAATGTTGTATGTTGCTGGAGTTCTTTCACATTAACTGTATTACAATACTCCTTTGTGTAACTATACCACAGTTTATCCCCTTTCCTGATGGTGTGAATTTGGGTTGTTTCCTTACTGCAGTATTCTAAAGCAAATCCCAGACCTCATGTTATATCAGTCCTACATACATTTCTAAAGAATATGGACATTTTCTTATATAATTACAGTGCCATTATCATTTTAATAAAATTGACAGCAATTCCTTACTGTCATCTACTATCAAGTCAATTTAAATTTCCTCACTTAAAAAATTTTTTTTAAACATTGGCTGTGTTTTAAATAACTCAAAATAAGATCCCCACGTGACATGACATTTGGTTTTATATCTACTGAGTCTCTTAATCTAGAGCATTCTCCCCTTCCCTGACTTTTTAAAGAATCCTAGTATATCCTACTATGGAATATCCCACATCCAGGATTTTCTTTCCTTCTTAGTGTTTAATTTGTTCTAAAGGCTTGATTAAATTCATTTTCAACGACTTTTGGCAAGAATACTTCATAAGCTGTGTTCTGGGTATTTCACATCATATTGCATCAAAAGGCTCATTGTGATGTCTGTATGTTTTACCTTTACAAATTCTAAGATTGATCAGTGAGTTCAAAATCAGCTGTCTATTTGGAAGTTATAGTATATGATTTCTAATTCTATAATTTTTTTCAGTATTTTTTTAACTGGGATTCTTCTGTAAAGAATTTTCCCTCATTAACTAAGTCTATTTGAATACCTTGAAATATAATTAAAGCAGAAATAAATGCTTAATTATTTCTCTTAAAATCTGATTTTCAGAGTCAGGAGTTGGTGTCCAGTTACCTTCAGTGGTGATTTTTGAGTTATGAACTTTGGGGGGAGGGGCATGATTTTCTCATTTTAAGTATCTGTTTGAACTCATGGGTCTTTATGTATGCAGTTTGTTTCAGTCAGTTGTAGTTATCATTAATTTGGTTATATTGATTTTCAGGAGGCCCTTTGTGTTGGATTTTGAGTCCTTTTTGCTGTGTATGACCCCAGTAGTCTCTTTTGCTTTTTTGCTTTTTGGCAGAATAAGATGTATGCGGCTTATCTTATACATTTCTTACCCCAGACCTGGAATCAGTAATTCCTGCAAGAAGCCCTGTTTCCTTTTTGTGGGAAATGATATTTAGAGACTGTCATCTGGGCCCAAGAATATTTACTGCTCTTGGGCTCTCACTGCCTCTAGGCTTTTTTATTGGGTAGTGTTAGGAAATAGGTATTTTGGAAAAGAAAAAAACCAATTCATGTTGACATTTCAAATTCAGATTGAGGATTGCATACTTAGTTTCTTTTTTTACACTTGTATCTCTTTTCCTTTATACTGAATGCCTTAGTTCCTAACAACAGTAACTTAATTATATACTTGCTTTATCCTGTTATAGATGTCCATTAATAATATATATTATTTTTATAATTATTGTTAATATCCTGATGTGCATTAATAACAGTAACAAGAAATGATTTAAATAGCATAGTAATTTCATAATACCAATATTATTGCTCACAGTAAGACTACTGAACCGCATTTAAGATTTTTTTGCAGCTCTTTATCTTTATACCATATTTCCAGTAAGAATGTATAGTCAAATTTCTGTGTTCCAAAGTCACTTGAAATAATCTTTTTCTCTGTGTGGTTATGCCAACAACTTGATACACGATTAGGCTGTTTTCTTTCAGTTTTTAGGGGCTGCATTTCTAACTTGAATTTTTTTTTTTTTTTTTTTTTTTCTAACTTGAATTTTTAAAAAATGTAAAACATTTACATGATTCCAAAGTCAAACTTTGTAACTGTTACCTATTCAGAGAATTTCCACTTTCATCCCTTCGTTCTCTAGGTAACCATTTCCTTCCTTTCCCTTACAGGTAGCTATTTTTATTAAGTTTTGGTTATTCTTCTAGTGTTGTTTTTTTTTTGTATAGAAAAGCAAAATATGTGCATAAATTCACATTTCTCTCCCTTTCTTACATGAAATTAGCATACTCTAAGTACTGTTCTGCATCTTTCTTTTTACATTTAATCTTGAGATCATTTCATATGTGGATATAATGATTTCCTCAGTCCTTGTTATGGTGCATGATATTTTATTGTATGTACCACCTTTTATTCAGCCAGTGCCGTATTGATGGGCATTTTGTTTTTTCTGGTCTTTTGCCATTATAAATAGTGCTACGGTGAATACCTCTGTAAATATCAGTAAGTAATTTAGTATTTTTGCCAGTGTATTTCAGGGTAGATTGCTAGGTTAAGAGTAAATGCATCTGTAATTTTTCTAGATATTGTCAGTTCCCTTTTATCCAGTTTGCACCATTTTACAGTCCTACAACAATGTGTGGCAGCACCTCTCAATCCACTGCCTCTCTACCTGAGTGTATCACGAGACTTGGATTTTTGGCCAGTCTGGTAGCTGAGAGGTAGTTTCTCTATACGATTTTACTTTGCATTTCTCTTACTTTGAATTAAGTGAGCATATTTCCATGTTTAAAGGCCATTTTTCTTTTTCTTTTTTGTGGCTGAATCGCATGGCTTGTGAGATTTCAGTTCCCTGACTAGGGATTGAACCGGGGCCCTTGGCAGTGGAAGCGCGGAGTCTGAACCACTGGACCGCCAGGGAATTCCCGCCATTTTCATTTCTTTCGTCACTGTTCATATATTTTTCCCATTTTTCTATCAGGTTGTTGGTTTTTTACTCAAAAAAAAAGTTAGGAGCTCGTGATGCATTACAGATAGCCTTTGTGATATACTGTCCACGACTTTTAATTTAGGGGGTTGATTTAAAAGGTATCTTAATAGTGGCAAAATGAAATGCACAGGGAGGCTCTAGATTTCTGAACTGCCGAGGAAAGACCTAGGCTTTCAGTTCATGGTAGTATTCATTTTGATATACTTTTAGGAACTATACTCCTAGTGATACTATTATATTGGTCTTAAAATTAACAGTCACTTAGGCATTACCTTCTAGTTAAATTTGGGGGTATAGAATTCAGGCAGAAAACCTTAGAGATAAATAATCCTGTTTAATTCTGTTTCGAATACTGTTTGAATACTTTATGAAAAGTAAGAATATAAACTTCAGATTTTGAGGGATTTTCTTCACAAAATCACTTCTGCAGTATTTGGCACATAAATTTTGTGAGATTGTTATATCACTTTATTATTCTGAAAGATTGTCTGCTTTGTACTATACACTAAGGTGATAAGAGCCTGAGTTAATACTGGGAGACTTAAAAAACAATTCATAGGATGTTGTTTGCAATTTTTTTCATACATTGCATTATTCATACATGAGCAGCTTTTTAAAATCTAGCTTTGTAATGCAACCCTAAAACAATTAAATGTCTTTTCTGACAATTAGTTGTTTTTGATGTGATTTCCAATTTAAAAATCAGATATTCTATTTTTCTAGAAGAACCTAACAAGACATGTGACAGCAGTAACACTAGTGCTACCACTACCTCCACCCAGCCTAATCTGGAAAACAGTAACAGCAGCAGTGAACTAAATTCTTCCCAGAGTGAATCTGCTAAGGCAGCTGATGATCCTGAAAATGGAGAAAGAGAATCTCATACACCTGTCTCTATTCAAGAAGAGATAGGTAAGAATACACTTCATACATTGAAAGGAGCTTTTTTATTTTTTTAATTTTTAATTTTTTAAATAAAAGTTTGATGGGGGTGGGAAGATTTGGATTTTGTTTTCCCTTTTTTTTTTTTTTTTTTTAAACACAAGTGACACTTGCACTCAGTGTTTTTGTTTTAAAAAAATAAAAAAGCACTTGGGAAAAAATACATCTTTTTCACACCCCCTCCCCAAAGGTAACCACCATTATTTGGTGTGTAACATTTTATATCTTTCTCCGTGCAGTTACATTAATGTATGTATGTTTACAAAAAGTCTTTTTTTTTAATTATAAATTTTATTCATTATAAGGAGAGAACTTCTACATGTGTTGTTCTGCATCTTGCTTTTTTCACTCAGTAATACATGTAGGGGTTCTTTTCATGTAATGAATTGAATTTATTCTTTTTTAACTGCTGCATGGTACTCCACAGTACAGATGAACCATAATTCATTTACTATTTCTCTATTAATGGACATTTAGGCTAACAGTTTTTTCATTATTACAACTAGTGGTGCTTTTTAACATCCTCACCATGTATCTCCGTGTACTTGTATTTCTGGCAGTATAGATACAGTAAATGGAATTGCTGGATCATATGGTAGGTACATTTAAAAAATAGTGATGGCTACTGCTTAATTGTACGTTAAAAGGAATTTATACTAATCATTTACATGTATGTGTATTTCTTCATATTCTCGCTAAATTTGACATCATCTATCTGTTACATTTTTGCCAATGGTGAAAAGTATTTCATTTTAAAATTTGCATATCCCTGCTTACTAATGTGATTGACTTTCTTTTCATGTGTTTGCTGAACTTTCTGTGAATTGCTTATTCATATTTTTTGCTGATTTGTTCCTACTGAATTTTGATATTTTTCCCAAATGAGTTTTAGGAATGCTTTATGTATTGTGGGTATTAATTTTTGATTTTACCTATATATTTATATAGTCATTGCTTGTTTTTAACCCTTTCTGTTGTTTTATAAAGAAATTTTTACATTTTTTATGCAGTTAAATTTATCAGTCTTTTTCTTTAGGATTTCTCTGGATTTTGTGTCTTACTAAGGAAGACCATCCCTATCCCAAGAACATACATATATTTTACAGTAATTTCACATAATACTTCTATAACTTTGTTTTTAATCCTTCTGGTGTATAATTTTGTGTATGATATGAGATGGAGATCTGTCTTAATTAGAACCTTTTCAAGTGCAAGTGACCAAACCAGCTTAAACTAGCTTAAGCGAAAAGGGAATTTAATTAGCTCATATAATTGGGAAGTCCAAGCCATCACCAGGCATAACTGGACCTCCAGGTATCAAAACTCTTTCCATTTTCCTCTTTCTGTCTCACCTTTTGGATCTGCATATGTTTGTGTGTTAACCTCATTCTCTCCTAATACAGACAGGCTTTCCCCAAGTGGCAGGGAAGATGGCATCAGCGGTTTGTATTCATATCTTTCCAAGGTCTGTGACCCAAAGGCAAGGCCCCTACTCCTGCTCCAAATCAAAAGTCCTTGAGGAAGGAATTTGAGTGGCCTATCTTGGACATATTGTTCCTACTCCTGTGGCCAGGGCAGGCAAGGTATTATGATTGATGGCTCCAGCAAAAGTATATAATTGGAGTGGGGTAGGAATGGTTTTCCAAAGGAGAGATGCTGTGAAGATAGGAAACAGCAAATATCCACAGTTCCACCCTAGCTCAGTACAAACGTGTGTATTCAAATTTAAAAAAGCCTCTGCCTAACATAATGGAAAGATCTCACCCACAACTGAAAATTTTTTTAAAAACTTCTCTCCCAAAATGAACATCTGGTAATTTTAACTGTATCTAGGATTTCTGTGTATTGTGTGTATTATTTTGATTATGTGTGGTTGTGGCTTATCTTGATCTTACAATCCATGAGCCAAATTATGAACTTAGCTACCTGTAACACTCATTAACCTGATGGTGGACGGTGTTCTCTGATAAACCTGGCTGCCCTTTTCTGGGAGAATGGATATGGATGAGAAGTGAGAAGCATACGGGAAGGTCCCTCTTCTGGAGGCCATTCTTCTTTAACAGGCTAGATCCAGCTGACTTCTGTCAGGGATGGCCTGCTGGAAATTGCTGTAGGTTTGAATAATTATACATCCCAGTGTGACAGGTTTGGGGTTTTTTCTGGCAGTAACACCCCCTTATAGATTGCCTGAATACCCAGCTAGTATCTAATGCCCAGAAACTTGGCTCAGAGTCTCTGAGGGTAAACCCCCTCTACTTGCCCAGTTTGTCTGCCTCAGCCCCCAGGTGAGCGAAGTCTGTCTAGGCTCCTGCCTCTTGACTCATTAAACAGTGAGTTAGGGAGGCTAGGGCCAGGCAGCTCTGTACTTAGCCTCCAGGCTGCATCACAGTGATCCACTCCTTTAAACAGGAATGTGGCCTTTGGGCAGGGTGTGCTAGACAATGACCTCCACTCTTAGCCTTGTTCCCTCTCTCTGCTCCTTCAAGTCGTACCCCCAGGGATGAATTTTCTGCCTCCTTTCCCTTATCTGCACTAAATTTAGCAAGTGGCAAAGGATTGACTCTCACCTGTTGGATTGTTGGCTCTAAATTGAGGCGTTTAATTTAAAAAGTGCTGTGCCATTCCCTTTCTGCTTTTAGGAAGTCTGGCCTTGACTAAATGATGTCTAAAAAGTCTTTATTGTAGAACTTCAAAGACAGTCCCAAGAAGTAGCCACTGTAGGGAATTATCTGGTAGTTCTGTGGTTGGGGATCCACACTCTCACTGCTGAGGGCCCGGGTTCAGTTGCTGGTTGGGAAGTTAAAATCCCTCAAGCCGTGTGATGTGGCCAAAAAAAAAAAAAGTTGCTGCTATAGTTCATCATGTTGGCACAGAACTCTAGCATGGGTAGAATCATGGTCTGAGAGCCGAGAGAACATCATGGATAGTCTAACTAACCAACTGCTTTGCTACCACACATTGAAGGTTACTAGCTTTCCAGCCTGAGATGGCAAGATACCCAGTACCCCCTACCCCATCTTGATTTAGTCAGTGCCATATTTTCTGCTTGGTTTTTCATTTGCCAGTGCCACACTGTCTTAGTTTTTAAAAGCTTTAAATTAAGAAAGAAACATGAGATCTTGTTCAGCTGTCTGGCCAGTGGAAATTGGATAGTGATGCAGTCATTTTAGAACGTATAGAAATTTTCAGCTGAAGTGAGATTTTTGGAAAAGCAGAAATTGCTCCTTGGCAGTTACATCTGTCACTTTAAAAAAATTAAGATATTATGAAAATGTGAGAGGCCTTTATTGTATCTAAAAAAGCTAATGTAGTTGATTTTCACATGTACAGTTATCTACATACACAGATAATTGTCTAGATTCTTTAGGAAAGAATTCACTTGACATTTATGTTTATACGCTTTAAATTATTAGGTATTTAAACAGAATTTCAGTGGAAATCTTTCTAAAATTAATTATATCCTTTACTTTTAATATAGAAATCCATGTCGAATATATAAGGCAATATTTTATTAGTGTGCATTTTGAGTTATGTTTGTTACTTGTAAATCTGTAGCAGCCCTTCCTCTTTTCTAGTAGCTAAGCTTTAAAACAGATAACCTGGCATGTTTGAATTTTCTGTAAAATAATAAATGACTCACAGTAAAGTTCTGACATACTTTCTTTGGAGTGAAACTTTAAGAATTAATGCATTTGCTTTGGCTGTTCAAGGACTTTTTATTTTCTGGATCTTAGTTGTCTACCAGATAGAAGTTTTGGATAAGTAAGGTGTTATTACTATATGTAATTTACTTACTGTTAGCAATTACTTTTGGCTTTTTATTTGGTAACAGGTGATTTCAAATCAGAGAAGTCTAATGGGGAAATAAGTGAGTCTCCTGGAGGTGGAAGAGGAGCGTCTGGTTCAACTCGGATTATCACCAGGTTACGGAATCCAGACAGCAAACTGAGTCAGCTGAAGAGCCAACAGGTGGCAGCCGCAGCCCACGAAGCAAATAAATTATTTAAGGAGGGGAAAGAGGTGTGTTTTTCCTGTTTAAAACAAAAATCTCTGGAATGTAAAATAATTTTTAAAATAGGGGCAGGAAGTTTGTAGAGGTACTTTTGAACTGTATTTTCCTCACTTCCGAGAGTGTAACGAGATTAAAAGTGTTAGGTTTGTATTATGATAAGTATAGCTGTACACCCAAATTTCAGTCCATGCATAGAAATGCTGTAAATGGGTAGTATTCTTTCTTACTATATGGTTAGTTTTATTGTATATAATTCTAAAGAGATAGAGGCTGCTTCTTCACATGTGGGAACAGGTAGGCTATTTGTGGGCTTTATTAAAGATTTAATACTCAATTCTGGCTGTAGTCATTTTAGATGAACCTGCAGCTAAAAGATAAGACTTACCCCTTGATGGCAGAGCACAGTGTATAGAACAGCACAGCATCTCAACTCTGACTGTGAACAAAAAGATTGAAGCTAGGACTCAGTATTTCTGTCTCCCAGCAAGCCATGATGATAGAATAAGGGCCACAGCTGTGTCTCTCAGATTTGAGAATTATTTGCAGGGTAGATATGCAAGATTATGCAGTGTTTTGTTTTTTAATGCAGTGTTTTTAACATCAAAGAAATGACTTTAAGGCAGTGGCTTTCAGGCTTCTTTTTACTCTGACCCTCACTAAGACATTTTTCATAGCAACCCAGTACATTCAAAAGTTTCCTGAAGTAGGGCTTCCCTGGTGGCACAGTGGTTGAGAGTCTGCCTGCCGATGCAGGGGACGCGGGTTCGTGCCCCGGTCCGGGAAGATCCCACATGCCGCGGAGCGGCTGGGCCTATGAGCCATGGCCGCTGAGCATGCATGTCCGGAGCCTATGCTCCGCAACGGGAGAGGCCACAACAGTGAGAGGCCTGCGTACTGCAAAAAAAAAAAAAAAAAAAAGTTTCCTGAAGTAGTATTTTACCATGTGGGAAGCATTCTGGTATTTTCTTTTCTAGTCTGTTGTATTATATTTCATTTTTTTTAAAGCTGAATAAGCCCCACTATTGATTTCACAGTCCACTAAAGGATTGGAATCAACTATTTGAAACACTATTTTAACATATCCATGGGCTCTTATCTAAAGCTGGAATGATAAAAGGAGCAGAAGAAAAGGTATTTTTAGGAATATATGTTTGCGGGAATAGTACATGTAATGCCCTCATGCCCTCTTTTGTCTCTAACCCCTGTATATTGTAAGCTTGAGAAAATGATTGGTGAATGATTTATATATCACACATTTAGTTTCATGTGTATATTTGAGATACATGAAAGTACTTAATAATGTCCAACATATAATAGGCACTTTAATAGAGCTTAGCTTTCTTTCTTTTTGCAGACATATCTTGGTTGTTTAATTATAAACAATTAGCTTTAGCTTTTAACTCAACTTTTAAACTTCAGAAGTTTAGGGACTTCCCTGGCTGTCCAGTGGTTAAGACTTCGCCTTCCAATGCAGGAGGTGCGGGTTCGATCCCTGATCGGAGAGCTAAGATCCCACATGCCTCTCGGCCAAAAAACCAAAGCAGAGAAAAACAGAAGCAGTATTGTAACAAATTCAATAAAAGACTTTAAAAAATGGTCCACATCAAAAAAATCTTTAAACTTCAAAAGTTCAGTCATAAGATTTACCTTAACTTATTTTGAATGATAAATTATAAATTATTGAAAGACAATTGATCAAATTTACATATTTGACATAAATAATGGAATCTTCTTATTTTCTTGGTCAGGTACTGGTAGTTAATTCTCAAGGAGAAATTTCACGGTTGAGCACCAAAAAGGAAGTGGTCATGAAGGGAAATATCAACAATTATTTTAAGTTGGGTCAAGAGGGAAAGTATCGCGTCTACCACAATCAGTACTCCACCAATTCATTTGCTTTGAATAAGCACCAGCACAGAGAAGACCATGATAAGAGAAGGCATCTTGCACATAAATTCTGTCTGACTCCAGCTGGAGAGTTCAAATGGAATGGTTCTGTCCATGGATCCAAAGTTCTTACCATATCTACTCTGAGACTGACTATCACCCAGTTGGAAAACAATATCCCTTCCTCCTTTCTTCATCCCAACTGGGCTTCACACAGGTAAAGGAAACTAAGGTTTATTTATTGCTGTAAATATAGTAAATATTTACAAAATGATTATTGCAGTTGCATACTTTAAACTGTCATTATTAATGAATTGAATGAAGTCATTTTAGTCAGCAGAACACTGAGGATGTTAGGAATATGAGTAACTTTACTTCTAAAGTTACCGATCCAACACTAACATTGGGAAGATTTCTGGAAAGCAGAGTCTTTATTCCCGGAACCAAGTGGAGTCCAGAGTTCCAGAACATCATAGAAGGTTTAAAGATTTGGAGGACGAATTGACCTCTGAGATTCCTCCAGTGTTTAAAACCTATGATTCTGTGAGGTAGAAACTTCCAGTAGCAGTGTATTTTATACCTGCTTAGCCTAGAAGCATATGCCGTATAAGATGAAGTCTTCATAAATTACAGCTCTTGTGCTTTTAAGATCAACAAGATGAAATTTTGTTTTTTCCTTTTTTTTTTCCCTTCTGAAATTTAGGGCAAATTGGATCAAGGCCGTTCAGATGTGTAGCAAACCCAGAGAATTTGCGTTGGCTTTAGCTATTTTGGAGTGTGCAGTTAAACCAGTTGTGATGCTCCCAATCTGGCGGGAATCTTTAGGACATACCAGGTAAGTGAATTCTGAGCCTTGTGAATGGTGTGTTAGTCTCCCTTTTAGAATATTAGTCTATTAATAATGAAAGTTAATGTGTTGAAAAGGCCATAATAAAGACTTAACTCTTCTTGACCTCATTTTCCTCCTATAAGATGGAGGAAAACATGTAAGATGTAAACCTGAATAAACATTAGTTCTTATTTAGGATATAGGATTATAATGAAGATGAGAAGAGATCAGGTATATGAAAATTAAAAATATGTTCTAAAGTGAAAAATGTTTTTATTGAATAGAAGGAATGCTTATATTTTTTGAATATTCTGGAGTGTGCTAGACATCTTGATTTATTTAGAGTCGAGTATCTGGCCAAAGATCATGTAGCTCCTAAGTGGACCCAGAGTTGTGTGACTTTAGCAGATGGTTAACAAAAAAGATAAATTTTGTGACTTGAATCTACTTTTTAGCCCTAATGGATTTATTTTTTAACTTTAATTTTTAAAAAGTTCTTATTATAAACCTAATATAAGCTTATGGTAAAAAATGTAAATTATTATTCAGTGTAAAAAGTAAGGCTCCTTCTACCTTCCCTGCCCCTCTACAGGTCCCACTCCAAAGATATAATGCTGTATTTTTTTTTAATTTAAATATATTTTGTGTTGCTTTCTACACCTGTGTTTTATCTTTTTTTAAAAAATAAATAAATTTATTTATTTATTTATTTATTTATTTATTTACTGGCTGCATTGGGTCTTTGTTGCTGCTCGTGGGCTTTCTTTAGTTGCAGCGAGTGGGGGCTACTCTTTGTTGCGGTGCGTGGGCTTTTCATTGTGGTGGCTTCTCTTGTTGCGGAGCCCGGGCTCTAGGTGTTCGGGCTCCAGTAGCTGTGGCACGCGGGCTCAGTAGTTGTGGCTCGCGGGCTCTAGAGCTCAGGCTCAGTAGTTGTGGCACATGGGCTTAGTTGCTCTGTGGCATGTGGGATCTTCGTGGACCAGGACTGAAACCCGTGTCCCCTGCCTTGGCAGATGGATTCTTAACCACTGCACCACCAGCGAAGCCCCCTGTGTTTTATCTTATAATGAAAAATTTTAAGAAAAATAAATATGCCTACTAAATATTTTTCATCTGCTAAGGGTTGCTTTCAGTTTTCTGTAGTGTTTCCCCCCCATAAATCTTATGGATACTCTTTCCTCTCTCCCTCCTATTTTGATTGTAATTGCTGCTACTGGTAGAAGCTTCCACAAATGGAATGGACTTAATTCTTCCTAGGATTAAAAAAAAAAAACACAACAGGGTTAAGTTAAGGTGCTACGAACGGCGCAGCCCAGGAGAGGAGAGCTAAATGGGTGGTGTGCCTGTATTTTTCTCACTGCCGCCTTTTCTCAGGGCAGGGAGAGCAAGGGGAAAGTCAGAGGCAATTGTGAGGCCTATATTTCTGTTTTTCCTTCTTGCATTTACTTCCAGGCTTTCCCCAAACTCTTCTGTCCCAACAGTCTCCTATTCAGTGCTCATCCTGAAACTTGTGTTGGTGGTCTCTGGTGGCAGAGACCAATATTTTGAGAACTAAAGCTAAGCTAAATGTTGCTAAAGAAAACTTCAGTACTCAAATGTAACTTAAAATGACTAAGTCAGGGCTTCCCTGGTGGCTCAGTTGAGAGTCCGCCTGCCGATGCAGGGGACACGGGTTTGTGCCCCGGTCCGGGAAGATCCCACGTGCCGTGGAGTGGCTGGGCCTGTGAGCCATGGCTGCTGAGCCTGCGCATCCGGAGCCTGTGCTCCGCAACGGGAGAGACCACAACAGTGAGAGGCCTGTGTACCAAAAAAAAAAAAAAAAAAAAAAGAGACTAAGTCAAAGCTTTTATAAATTCATTTCTAAATATTAAACATTCTAATGAAAATGCAATTCATTTTTTTTTTTAGTTAGGGTTTTTTCCCCTCCTGGTATGTCATTATGACTAGTCTTTTATCCTGTTTTATTTTATTTTTTTAATTTTTTTTGGTGCACTGCGTGGCATGTGGGATCTTCTTTCCCTGACCAGGGATTGAACCCGGGCCCTCGGCAGTGAGATCGTGGAGTCCTAAACTTTGGACAGCCAGGGAATTCCCATGACTAGTCTTTTAAACCTGTAACTAGAGTTATAAAATTGTATCATGCATTGTATTAGTATGACACATCTGGTAATATATACGAAAGAACTTTTTTTTTATTTTGATGAGGTGATATAAAATAGCATACTCTGAATTTTTAAAAAATTAGAGACCATGATTCATGAAAATTAGAAATTAATAATAGGACTTACACTTTGGCAGTAGTATGGTCACAAATGTTTAGGTGACAGACTTCTAAGACTTGATCCTAAGGCAGTATCTAGAAATTCAACCAAATATTTTATTATAAAATGTTTGTTTATTATGATATTCAATAGTAAAGGTTTGGAGGCAGGATCTTTTTTGAAAAAGTTTATGAAGTCTTGGTTGAAAAACATTAAAGAACACCTAAATAAATGAAAATATATCTCCTGTTCACATATAGGAAGACTCAGTGTCTTGACAATGTCAATTTTTCTCACCTTAATATACAGATTAAGTTCAAACACATTAATAATTATAGTTGGGCTTTCTGTAGAATTTCACAAGATGGTTAAAAAGTTTTTATGGAAAGGGACAACAATAGAAAAGGTAAATTTGAGGGACGAGGTGGAAGGACTTGCCTTCCCATGTAACAAAACTTACTTGGTAGCTATAATACTGTGGTATAAACAAATAGACCAGTGGTACAGAATAAACAGTCCAGAAAGAGACCAACCCATATATGGAAATACAGTATGTGATGGAAGTAGCATTGGAAAGGATGAACTGTCTAATAGAAGATGAGGAGGAAATTAGTTGTCCGTACAGTGGTAAATTGAACTTCATTCTTTATATTATACACAGTAGTCAGTTCCAGGTAGAGTAAATTCTAAATGTGAAAAGCAGACGTTAAAACTCTAAGAAGAGAATATAAGAGATTATCTTTGTGACTCTGGAGCAAAAAAAGTTCTCTTCTTCCTCCCTCCCTCTCTCCTTCTCCATTTCCTTCCCTTTTTCCTCCCTTCTTTGCCTCTCTTTGCTTTCACTCGTTCCTTCTTCCTGCTTTTCTTCCTGCCATACTTCCTTCCTTTTCTTTTCTGATTGTTTTATTTCCTTCTTGATTCATTCAGTATCTCCCCTGACATAGCTAAGGCAGGCTTTATTTATTTCATTTGTAAGAGTGCTGTCTGTCAGATTTGAATGAGTGTGCATGTGTATGCCTGTGTGTGTGCACGTACTAAAAGTGACTTTCCTTCTTCACATTTATTATGTGATATGTACATAAGATTGTGTGAAATACATAAGCTATAATGGGTAATAAAAAAATGAACACCTGTGAATTCACCACCCAATTTAAAAATAAGAACATTATTATTGCATTTACTTTGCATTCATATTACCTTGCCTTTCCTGAGAGATAACCATCATTTTTACATTTGTGTTTTGTTACACCCTTCCTTTTACTGTGTAGTTTTATCACATATGTATATAGCAGTAAACAATGGTTTTCTGTGGTTTGAGTTTTATAGTAATGTGTCATCCTAAAAGACTGAATCCTAGACTGGTTGAAGGTGTTTTTATTGTTTTATTATACTATAATCAAAAAAGGGTTAGTATACACAGTATATTCAAGAACTTCTACAGTTCAGTAAGAAAAAAAATCAAACTATTTAGTAGAAAAAAAGGCCAGAGGTGCAAACATAACTTAGGGAAAAGGAGACACAAATAGCCAAGAAACGTGAAAAGATGCTTAACCTCCCTAGTAAGTTGGGGGAAAAGCACATTAAAACTAGGGGTTGGGCCAACATCGTTTTCAATGATGAAAAACTGAAACCATTTCTGCTAAGATCAGGAACAAGATAAGGTTGCCCACTCTCACCACTATTATTCAACATAGTTTTGGAAGCTTTAGCCACAGCAATCAGAGAAGAAAAAGAATTAAAAGTAATCCAAATTGGAAAAGAAGAAGTAAAACTGTCACTGTTTGCAGATGACATGATACTATACATAGAGAATCCTGAAGATATTACCAGAAAACTACTAGAGCTAATCAATGAATTGGGTAAAGTAGCAGGATACAAAATTAATGCACAGAAACCTCTCGCGTTCCTATACACTAATGATGAAAAATCTGAAAGAGAAATTAAGGAAACACTCCCATTTACCATTGCAACAAGAAGAATAAAACACCTAGGAATAAACCTACCTAAGGAGACAAAAGACCTGTATGCAGAAAACTATAAGACACTGATGAAAGAAATTAAAGATGATACAAACAGATGGAGAGATATACCATGTTCTTGGATTGGAAGAATCAGTATTCTGAAAATGACTGTACTAGTCAAAGCAATCTTCAGATTCAGTGCAATCTCTATCAAACTGCCAATGGCATTTTTCACAGAACTAGAACAAAAAATTTCACAACTTGTATGGAAACACAAAAGACCCCGAATAGTCAAAGCAGCCTTGAGAAAGAAAAACGGAGCTGGAGGAGTCAGGCTCCCTGTCTTCAGACTATACTACAAAGCTACAGTAATCAAGACAGTATGGTACTGGCACAAAAACAGAAATATAGATCAATGGAACAGGATAGAAAGCCCAGAGATAAACCCACGCACATATGGTCACCTTATCTTTGATAAAGGAGACAAGAATGTACAGCGGAGAAAAGAAAACCTCTTCAATAAGTGGTGCTGGGAAAGCTGGACAGCTACATGTAAAAGAATGAAATTAGAACACTCCCTAACACCATACACAAAAATAAACTCAAAATGGATTAAAGACCTAAATGTAAGGCCAGACACTATAAAACTCTTAGAGGAAAACATGGGCAAAACACTCTATGACATAAATCACAGCAAGATCCTTTTTGACCCACCTCCTAGAGAAATGGAAGTAAAAACAAAAGTAAGCAAATGGGACCTAATGAAACTTAAAAGCTTTGGCAC